CCCGTCCCCCATCCCCCGTCCCGCGGACTCACTACATGGCCGAGTCCAGCAGGTGGAATTCATGCCGCCGCTCATAGCAAGCGCGGACGCCCGGGTCCTTCCACAGCCATTGCACGGCCAGCGCGAGGCGCTTCTCGAACGTGGTCACTTTGTAGGGGTCCTGCTTCATGACCAGGCTGGCGTGGTGCTGGGGGGCGGGCGGGCCGGTCAGAGCTGCCCTTCCAGGCGTCTCTGCAAGCCCCCTCTCCCCTCCTGTTATGGGGTGAATCGTGTCCCCAAAACACATGTTCAACGTACATATGGAGATGGTTGAAATGGCAACTGTTTTGTCACCCATGCATAAGTCATAAATAGGTATACCACAAAAAAAAAAAAATTAAAAATAAGTCCCAAGATGGCACAGATGTTTAAGCTCTGAACTACTAGCCAAAACGTTGGTAGCTGGAATCACCCAGATGTGCCTTGGAAGAAAGGCCTGGCCATGTGCTTCCAAAAGATCACAGCCTTGAAAATCCTATGGAGCAGTTCTACTCTGCACACAGGGGGTCGCCATGAGTCAGCCCCTATTAAACTGCAGCTAACGACACCACTGTTCGATTAAACATCAATTTAAAAAATGAATAACTAATGATCAGTTTTGTGAACACTTTGCCATTTATGTTTAAGTATGATGCGTAGCTGTGACTATGCATATCATTAAATATATTGGATTTAAATTATATATACGCTCAAGCCCTAAGCCCTGGTACCTGTGAATGGGACCTTGTTTGGAAATAGGGTCTTTGAAGATGTTATCAGTTAATATAACGTCATACTGGAGCAGGCTGGGTCCTAATCCTATGAGTGGTGTCCTTATAAAAGAGAAGAGACGGACACAGAGAGAAGACAGCCCAGTGACGACAGAGGCAGAGAGGTTGGAGGAGACAGGGCCCTGCCCTGGAGGAGACTGAGAGGAGACAGGGCCCTGCCCTGGGGTCTGAGGCGGGACGCGGCCCTGCCCTGGGGTCAGAGGGGGGGACGTGGCCCTGCCCTGGGATCTGAGGGGGGACGTGGCCATCGGGCTTACCTTGCTCTCAGGCCTGCCGAAGGGGATCTGCAGCCGGTCCATGGCCTCGATCATGGCCTGCATGGAGACGAAGATGTTCTGGTAGACCAGCGGCCGGAAGCCCTTGCGGTCCTCCTCCGAGTAGCCCGCCCCATGGATGATCCGCATCTGCTTGATGAACGTGCTTTTCCCGCTCTCTCCGGGGCCTGGGGGGATGCCACCACTGCTCAGCTCTCCACGCTGAGACCCGCCAGAGACACCCCAATGGCTAGCAAGGGCCGCAGCCGTCCACTCGGGTTCAAACCCAGGCTCTGGACCCTGGGCGAGCCACTCTGCCTCTCTGTGCCTCAGTTTCCCTGTCTGTAACATGTGGATCACAATTTGTTGTCGTTGTTAGATGACCCCACGCACAACGGAATGATAGCGCTGTTCAGCCCTGCACCGTCCCCGTGACTGGCTGTGGATCAGACCATGTGATCCATAGGGTTTTCATTGGCTGATTTTCAGAAGTAGATCACCAGGCCTTTCTTCCTAGTCTGTCTTAGTCTGGAAGCTCCACTGAAATCTGTTCAGCATCCTAGTAACACACACGCCTCCAGTGACAGACAGGTGGCAGCTGCACATGAGGTGCAATGGCCGGGAATCGAACCCTGGTCTCCTGCACGGAAAGTGAGAATTCTACCACCGAACCACCTGCCTTGGCCCTGCCTTGTAAAGTTAACGTGAGGATGAAGTGAGTTCATTGTAAAGTGCTTGGAGCAGGGGTCCGGCAAACTCTGGCCCACGGGCCAAATCTTTTGTATGGCCAGCAGGTTTTTACACTTTTTTTATGTTTTTTTAAAAAATATTTTCAATACTTTTCGTGGTTGTGGTTTTTACGTTTTTAAATGGTTGAATCAAAATCAAAAGAAGACTGTTTCATGACACGTGAAAACTACTTGAAATTCACATTTCAGAGTCCATCGATAAAGTTTTATTGGCACATGGCCACGTCTGTTCGTTGAGGTACTGTGACTAGCTTCTTTCTGTTTTTTGATGTATTGTCTGCGACAACGGCAGAGTTGAGCAGTCTAGGTGGAGACTGTCTGGCCTGAAAAGTCGAAAATATTGACTTTCTGGCCCTTTACAGAAAGTGTGCCGGCCCCTGGGTTAGAGCAGACACTTGGAGCTGAGCGGGATCAGAGGCAAGAAGAGTTGGGACCTGCATGCCAGGCTCAGGAGGAGCTTGGTGTCTTTTCTGTAGGAAAGTTATTTTCTCCTCTCTCCCTTTTTCAAGTTACAACACCCCTTTCTCAGACACAGTCTTAAATAGAACCCTAATATTGAAAATGTAAAAGGTGGGGCTGTTGGGGCCACAGCAGGGGTGGGGTCCCCATTCCCTGGGGAACTTCCTGGGGCTCTCTGAATCCGTTGCTTATAACCATACCTGGCACATAGTTGAAATTCCTGGGTGGTGCAAATAGTTGTCTGGTAATCGAAAGGTTGGAGGTTCAAGTCCACCCAGAGGCACTCGGAAGAAAGGCCTGGTGATCTACTTCTGAAAACTCAGCCACTGAAAACCCTGCGGAGCACAGTTCTACTCTGACACACATGGGGGCGCCATGAGTCGGCACTGACTCAACAGCAGTGGGTTTGACTCTTGGCTTGTTAGCACATAGTAAGAGCTGCGTAGTGTTCACTATTATTATCATTACTTCCCATATAAAAATAATGTTGTTGTGTGCCGTCAAGTCAATTCCAACTCAGAGCAACCCTATATGACAGAGGAGAACTGCCCCATAGGGTTCCTTAGGCTGTAGTCTTCATGGGAGAAGATCTTCAAGTCTTTTCTCCCTCTGGTGGGATAGAACCGCTGACCTTTTGGTTAGCAGCTGAGTGCTTAACCACTGTGCCACCAGGGCTCCTTATAAGTATAATAATAATAACAAATATTACTTCCTATAGTATTTTCCTGTAATAATAATTATTACTGCTATTTGCTCTAATAATTTCAGGTAGAGAAGCTTTTATGGAGGAGATAACGCAGGATAAGTAGGGTAAGTGGTAGCTGAGTGGTCAACGAAGACTTCCCATCAGACTTGCCTTGTGAGGTTGAGATCTGAAGGTTGGGAAGGTGGCTCTCATGCCTGGATCTAGCCTGTGCAAAGGGCCTGAGGCAGGACCAGGCCTAACGTGTTGGAGTAAAAGCAAGGAGGCCCAAATGGCAGGAGTGGAGTCAGCGAGGGGGAGAGAGGAGGAAGGGAGGGCGGGGAGGGGACGGGGCAGGTCTTGCAGGGCCCTGTGGGCCACAGGGAGGAGGTGGGCTTTACCCCGAGGGAGGTTGGAGACCTGGAGGGCATGGGCAGAGAAAGGGTGGGCCTGACTCAGGTGCTCACAGGCACCCTCTGGCTGCTGCCAGGAGAACAGACTGTGGGGGGCGAGGGCGGAGCTGGGGGACCAGGTAGAGGCTACTGCGCTGGTCCAGGTGAGCCATGACGGGGCTGGACCAGGTGGCCAGCGTGGAGAAGGAGAGAAGGGGACATATGTGAGAGATTTGTAGACAGAATCACCATGGCCTTGCTGATGGACCAGACAAAGGGGGAGGGGGTCTTTGCAGGGCCAGCTGCAGACTTGGGGGGGGGCCTGTGTGGTTACACAGGTCTCACACCCCAAAGCCGACCCTGGGTCTGTGGTAATAATACCGAAACCTGCAAGAGCCCAGGACTTCCCCTGAAAGTACCTTTTGACTAAATAGCAGGTTAGCTCAAAAAGCAAAGAATGTCACTCTTGAGAACTGTGCTCTTTTAAAAATGATCCCTATGAGACCAGATGGACAACAGCTTCTCTAGAGCACAGATGAGAAGTTTGGGGGGCAGCGAGACTTAGCTAATGGGAGTGGAACAACCAGACGGAAATAATAAGAACCCTGACTCAGACCAGAGGATGCCACCAATGTTGCTGCTTATTACGTATAGAAACGGTTGAACGGTAACCTATTTTACTGGGTATAAACCAAACCCATTGTCGTCGAGTTGATTCTGACTCATAGTGACCCTGCAGGACAGAGTAGAACTGCCCCATAGGGTTTCCAAGGCTGTCACTTTAAGGATTAAGGTGCGCCTGACCCAAGCCATGGTGTTTTCAATCGCCCCGTATGCATGTGAAAGCTGGACAAGAATAAGGAAGACCAAAGAATGGATGCCTTTGAATTGTGGTGTTGGCGAAGAATATCGAATATACCCTGGACTGCCAGAAGAATGGACAAATCTGTCTTGGAAGAAGTACAGCCAGAACGTTCCTTAGAAGGGAGGATGGTGAGACTTCATGTCATGTACTTTGGACGTGTTATCAGGAGGGACCAGTCCCTGGAGAAGGACATCATGCTTGGTAAGGTAGAGGGTCAGCGAAGAAGAAGAAGACCCTCAACGAGATGGACTGACACAGTGGCCGCAACAATGGGCTCAGGCGTAATGATTGTCAGGATGGGGCAGGACCGGGCAGTGTTTCGTTCTGCTGTACACGGGGTCGCTGTGAGTCTGAACGGACTCAAGGGCACCTAACCACAATAACAACAGTCTTTATGGAAGCAGAGTGTCACATCTGTCTCTCGAGGAGCAGCTGGTGAGTTCAAGCCCCAGACCTTTCAGTTAGCAGCTGAGTGCTTAACCACTGCACCCCCGGGGCTCCTTTTGCTGTGTGTACTTTCACCGAAAATATAATAGAATATTAAGAGCCTAAGACTTGAAGCTCAAAGACTGAGACTACCTCCCTATTGTCAAAACTCTGAAATCCCAAGCTGGTCCCTTGGCCTCTCCGTGCCTCTGTTTTCTCATCTGCAAAATGGGCATAACATGCCTGGAGGTTCCTGGTGGACACTGGCCCGGGCAGGGTCAGGGTGAGGACTCCTTCCTGCTTCCCCCAGGATGTGAAGACGGGGGGGAGGGAGGGGTTGGCGCAGGAGGAACTGCAACAAAAAAGGGAAGGGGTGGGCTGATTGGAGCCCAGAATGAGGAATCAGGAGGAAGAAGGGGGGATCAGGGAGAAGGGCGGGGAGGTGGGACGTGAGAGAGGAAGAGGGTGGCCGTTTCCCCAGAACTCCCTGCTAAGGGCCTCTGTGTCCTCCGTCTGCTTCCCAACACTCCCAACACACACTTTGTCAGCACACTTGCGGGTGGCCGCCTCCCACTCTGCCTCAGTCTTCCCAGCTATTAAATGGGTTTACTGGACTTGTGGCCCAAGCCCACTAGCTGCTTTTCTCTCGCTATGAAGGACGTTAGTGGAGAAATTGGGAAAGCTGGTCACACGTGAACACGGGCTGCAAGTGACAACTGCTGTTAATTGTGGGTTTTGATCATTTTGATCACGGTTCTGCCATTCCTGCTTTTAAGCGGGACTCAAAAACCCAGCGAGGTATTTAGAGGTGAAAAGGTATCGTGGCCAGAACCTGCAAGTCGTTCAGAAAAAATAAAGTGTATTTGTGTATTAATAACTACGTAATATGTAAATTTATCCATGATCATGCATTATATAAATTATAAGTATGTATATTAACCACCAGTTGCTGTTGATTTGATTCCGACTCGTGGCAATCCTGCGTACGTCCGAGCAGGACTGTGCTCCACAGGGTTTTCAGTGAACCACCAGCCTTATGGTTAGTAACCCAACACGTTAACAGTTCACACCACCCAGGGTCCCAAGTACGTATATACCAGAAAACCAAAAACCAAGCCCGTTGCCTTCGAATCAATCCTGACTCATGGCAACCCTATAGGACAGAGTAGAACTGCCCCATAGGGTTTCCAAGGAGCAGCTAGTGGATTCGAACTGCCAACCTTTTGGTTAGCAGTGGAGCTCTTTAACCACTACACCACCAGGGCTCCATGTCTATATATGTCTAAGTACATATATAGACACATATATATACATATACATATGCGTGTGTGTGTGCGTGTGTATGTGTGTATATATATATACACATATGTAGGTATATATATGTATATATGAAGTCCCTGGGTGGGTTAACAGTTAAGCTCATGCTTGCTAATCGAAAGGGTGGAGGTTCGAGTCCACCCACCAGCACCTCAGAAGAAAGGCCTGGCAATCTACTTCTGAAAAATCAGCCACTGAAAACCCTATGGAGCGCAGTTCTCCTCTGACACACCTGGGGTCGCCAGGAGTCACAGCTGACTCGACAGCCACTGGTTTGTTTCTCTTTGGCTCACGTAAGCATATTCTATACACAGGTATATGTATGTATTTCTGTATATGGAGAGAGAGGATAGAAATAAAGGAAACGTAGTCATAGGTTAATATTTGGGGAATCTGGGTGCAACTTTTGTATAAGTCTGAGATTATTTCGAAAAAAAAAAGCGTTCAACGCAATGTGGAACAGAAAAACACGAGGATGGCTCCCCTCCTCTCGGTGGAAAAACCAGTCAAATCCAAATAAAGTCTGGAGTTTCGTTATTAATGAGGCACCCACGTTCATTTCTGGCAGTGGCAAGGGCACTGGGTGGTGGGGACGCA